AAAAAAAAAAAAGAAAAGAAATGATGGCATTTAAACATGCCAAACCATAGGTGTGATTGATGGCTAGATTTGCTTGTAATAGTGAAAGTGGCCAACATGTGTAACCTGGCTCAGGTCCTTCTTAGCACTTTCCTTGGGAGGTCAAAGTTACTACTACATTCTTTTGAGGCAGAGCCCACCAAAGCTACTGTTCAGCTGATATATCCTGAACTGCCACTTGGTGGTTAGCTGCTGCCCCAAGGACCCCCCAGATGCCTGCGCCACTATGCCTGGCAGTGGCCTTGGCCCCTCCTCAGGACCCAAAGCTCTCATGATTCACCAGTGACCAACATTCCTGGGACCAGCATCACTCTAATTATTTAGTGTCTGTCTTAGTCTACTCCTGCTGCTATAACAAAATACCTTAGACTGAGTAATTTATAAAGGAAAAAATTCATTGCTCACAGGTCTGGAGATTGGTAAGTCCCAGATCAAGACACCAGCAGAGTCAGTGTCTGGTGATGGCTTGCTTTCTGCTTCTAAGGTGGCGCCTTCTTGCCTCATCCTCACATGGCTGAAGGGAGCAAGGAAGCTCCCTTCAACCTCTTTTATAAAGGTGCTAATTGCATTCACGAGGGTGGAGCCATGATGACTTAATCATTTCCCCCAAAGGCCCCACCTCTTAATACACATTGAATATTGGATATTAGGCTCCAACGATACAAATTTTGGAGGATACCAACATTTAGCAATATCCCTGTCATATTGGTGGTTAAACATTTACCAAACTGCCTGGATATTCTTTTTATCAGAAACTGAGGCACAGAGCAAGAGTTGAACCCAGACTGGCTGCCTCAAGAGTTTGTACTGCCTCTTTTCCCTTGGCTGAAAGTTCAAGAAACCCACATGGAAATTACGCGGTTACCTCCAGAGACTCAGTTGAAGCTTTAGCAGAATTGGATGTTTTATTTCTCACAAAGATATTTAAAGCAAATGTTTAATATCAGCAGTGGGTACTGCTTCATGACCGAAGTTTTTTTTTTTTTCTAAAACCTAAATGTTTTGTTATATTCTTAATCATGCTTTTCCTAGTGGGTCAGATTCTTTCCTCTCCATTCCTATTGTACCGATGTCCCTATTTCAGATTTTCCTAAGCTTGTGTCTACCTCATCTACGTGTCCTGCACTTGACTCATTCCTCGGAAGCTCTCTGCGTTGTTGCATTCTCTGAACTCAGCAAGTTTCTCATGTTGACGCTTAAACCCTCCTGGAACCGGCCTGATGCATCTTCGGCCTTGATTTCCATTGCCCTCCCCCAGTTGGGACAGGCTTGTCGCTGGCCTCCACTTCTAGCTTTTTCTTACCTTCAAGCACCTGTTCCTTGTTCATGCAACTCTGCTAGGGATCCTTTGCTCATTCTTCCACTCCAAAAAGTCCCTGAATCCAAAACCTTTTCTGAAAAAAATTTAGTTCATATATCTGGAGACCCGGGCAGTACCCCACAAGCACACCTATTGATGCTTCGGCAGGGAAATATTTGCAAATTCTCACACTAAATGGGATGAAAGCAGACTAAACTTCATATAGATTTCAGTTAGGTCTCAGATCAAGGTGTGGTGAAAAAAAATTTCAGTCAGGTTTTGCAATAAACTGAAGAAAAAGCTTTGAATTTTTAGACTTTTTTGTATTTCAAAATGGTGGATCTGATTTTTACTCAAGAAATTTATTTTCTCCATGAAGGCTTTATTAGTGATTTCTTCCACAATGACAACTAAGTCCAGTAGATGCTGTAAGATAGAAAAATGAGCAAATATCCTAGAGCTCAGTATTTTACCTTTCATTAATCACTTGTAGCTTGATGCCCTAATTAGTGTTTATTATATATTTGTGGATTAGAATTGAGCAGCCCAGAATTTAGCTATTGGTATTGAAAGGCCTGGCCAGAGAAGGGAGGCATGGCGTCCAGAAGCACTTTGGAAGTCTCCTGGGGCTGAAGTGGAGAAGCTTTCCTTGCTGTTTGACTTGATTCTGGCTATTTTTATATATACCCAAGATGCCCTTGACCATATTTATATGTGCTTCTGACTGGAATGTGTCTTTTCAGTGGGATATAACTTTTCTAGGTAGGTCCAGCACTTAGAGCATGGGCCATTCTGTGGGGGGACTTGTTCGTCTTTGTTTAATTGTAGTGTCTTCTTCCTTAGCTGCAGGAAACGCATTTTGTCAGGCAGCCAAGCTCCACATGCAGCTTCAAAGCAAACATGACTCTGCAACCAGCTTTGTGGACGCTGGGAATGCTTACAAAAAGGCAGACCCGCAAGGTAAGACGGGTGGGGCATGCAGCACATCCGTCTCTGTGTAACTAACTAGCCAGTGTTTCCTTCAACCTTAAGGTTACCGTTGGTGTTCTTTTTGCATCCTGGTAAAAAGGAGTTTTTGTATTTTGGAAAAATAAAGAAATATTGGTGACTTAAGGAATTTTTCTTCTTTAATCATTTAGGGGCTTTTATAAGGAGAAAGTATGTTAAATTTAATCTTGGCTCTTTAGTTGTCAATTATCATTTTCTCAAACTCCATTTATGTTGAATTTTAGGAGATTTTTTTTGGAAGTTACCTTTAATTTTATCTAAGACTTCTTGTATCTTAATTTTATGAAAATATATATTGATCATAAAAAATTCTAATGTTCCCTTCTAAATACATAATGAGTTTTAAGATCCAGTTAATGGGCGTTTATAATATCTGATGGTTTAAAAATCTCTTATTCATACAGTATCCGTTTTCTTAAAAGTATTTTTCAAAGTACTCATTTTGAGGGAAGAATGAAATTGGTTATCTAAAAATTTTACAAATGTTATTTTTTTTGATAGAATAATGTACTTAGCAATTAAAAGCATGACTGTCTTCTCTCCCACACATGTGCACAGAGAGCTTTGCATCTCCCTTTTTTCTTTAGCAGTTCATTTTAACATAGAAAATCCCAACTTTTATAAATATATCATAAGGAAATAAGATTTCTTTAAGGGATTTTCTGTAAAGATTAATCACAGTTTATTTCCAAAAGTGAAAAACTGGACACAGCCTACATGAGCAGTTAGAGTAGAATACTAAAATTATAATACATCAGTACTTTGGAATATGATACCAGCATTAAAATCCCTGGTTTCAAGGAATGTTCAGTGACCTGATAAATGTTCTCATGGTAATTAAAGAACCACATGAGACTGGATATTATATAATCTCAATTTCAGAAAAAAGTTTGTGCACATAGAAATGTATTTTAAAAACCAATGGAAGGGCCAGGTGTGGTGGTTTACACCTGTAATCCTAGCACTCTAGGAAGCCGAGACAGGAGGATTGCTTCAGGTCAGGAGTTCAAGACCAGCCTGAGCAAGAGTGAGACCCCGTCTCTACCAAAAATAGAAAAAATTAGCTGAGTCTGGTGGCATGCATCTGTAGTCCTAGCTACTTAGGTAGCTGAGGCAGGAGGATCACTTGAGCCCAGGATTTTGAGATTTCAGTGA